CGCGCTTTAACTCTGGAGTGGTTTCCCACACCCAAACTTTCCACCTTCCTTCTTGGGCCTGAGAGAAATCCAGCCTCTGGCTTGAGAGTCACCATCACCAGCAGGGGACCTCCCCCTGTCAGCATGTTCTGAGCCCTATGCCTAAAGTGGACAGGCACGGGAGGCACATGGCTGGAGCCAGAAATGAGAGCCGCTTAGCCACCCCAAAGAGACTTATGTCCCCTCCTACATGCTCAAGGAGGTCCCAGTTCGATGTCTCCATCCCTCACATGCCTGGGAAGAGTTAAATGAGGTGGTTCTTACACTTCCACTTACACACACACACACACACCCCCTCCCGGATTCCAGGCCTGGCTTTTGCCCTTTCCCTTTAGGCTGTCCAGAACAAAGGCTCTTTCACACCCGTGCCCCGCTGTCCCAGGCTTTCTCTGAGTCAGAAGCCAGTGGAGAGCTTTTGTCATCCTCCCACCCCAGCTACTTAGACTCAAGGAACCCGCGCGTGGCCAGCGTGGGGGAGCCGGGGGCGAGGAGGAAGGGCCTGTGATCCTGAGCACACTAGGATATGCCAGGCCTGGGGGCCAGAGCTGAGTAGTCGGGGCGGAGCTGCAGGGCCAGGCCTGCCGCCGGGTTGAGTGTGACTCCATAGGCCCAGGGTGGGGGGTGGGGTGGGGGGGACAGCCCTGCAGCTGGCTGGGACCCGGGGCTGGTTTCCTGTCTGGAAGGGAAGGGGCCCGCAGAGGGGAGCAGGGCCAGCAGCAGCCAGGCACACCCCTGTCTTTCTCCCTCTCTCCTCCCTTCTGCTGGAAAAGCGAGGTAATTGTGAGCCCAGGGTGGGGCGTGCTGGATGGGGGCCGGCGTTGGAAGGGGTGACCCTGGGTCTGGGCCGCATTACAGACTCACCCCTTTGTCCCATTCCCTGGGCTCAAGTCTCCTCAAGTCCTCATTTCTGTCGCTAACTTTCTCAAACTAAGCCAGAACTGCCTTGGTCGACTCTGATCTCCCGACAAGCCCTAGGATTCGGTAGAATCAGCAGGAGGCGGCCCTTCCCTGCCCCCTTCCAGCTGTGCCTGCCCCTCACTGCCCTCTCCGCACGCACATTCTCTGTCCGCCAGGCCAGGGGTGTGGGCGGGAGCGGGGGAGGGGCCAACATGGGAATGAAAGGGCCTTTTACTTCCACAGCTGGGAGACCAGCTGCCACCAAAGCAAGGCTGGACACTCTGTGCCCAGAGCCCCCTCTGCAGCTGGCCTCTCCTCCCAGGATCCCCTGCTTATTCTCACCTTACTTTTTTTCGTCCTCTGCCTGGCTCCTACCAAGGCCTTGGAACAGCACTCACTAGGAGAGGGAATTTTGTCACAGAAGCCAGAGGGGTCTAACAGGACTGCAGAGGGACAGGGACAGCCTCGACATTCTGTCCTAGAGCTGGCCACCTCTCTCAAGCCCAGAGAGCACTGGGAGGAGGAACTGTGGAACAGCGTGCTGCCCTCCTGGCCTCTCTCTGGGCAGCAAGGGAAGGGGCTCTAGGGGACACAGAGATGCAGGACAGATTACACATCCTGGAGGACCTCAATATGCTCTACATCCGGCAGATGGCACTCAGCCTGGAGGTAATGCCCTGACCCCTGAACCATACACTTCTGCTGTCTCAGCCGTAATGGGGCCGGTGGGGTGGGGAGGAACGGAATAGCCTGGATGGGGGGGCGGCAGGTGGTTCTCTATGCTCTGTGTTGAGTGCCATTTTGGGCCCAGCCCACTTCTGTAGACCAGAACGAACATTACACTGAAGGGCTAGGGATGTGACTCGCTGGCAGAGTGCCTGTTTCTGGACAAAGTCCTGCGTTTGATTACCAGCACCCCTGACACTGCACACACTGGGTGCAGGGGCACACACCTGTGCTCCTAACACTTGGGAAGTAGAAGCAAGAGTGAGTTCCAGGCCAGTCTGGGCTAAACAACGCTGACCACAAAACTACATGTTGACAGCAGGGTCTTTGCACCTATTTCTGGAAGCTGTGTGAGTAGGTGTGGATGTTTGTTCTGGGGACAGGGGTTCCTTTTAAAGATGGAATGAAGAGACTTCAATATCAAGGCGGTGTGTAGAAAGATGTAGCCTGAAGAAAAGTGAGGGGAGATGGCGGGTGAAGAGGAGAGATTTGTGTGTGTAGATCAGAGGATTTTTTTTCTTTCCTTCTACCATGTGAACTCTAGGGATTGAACCCAGGTCCTTTGGGTTAACTGCAATCACCTTTTACCTGTTGATCCATCTCACTGGCCTGCTGGTTTTTCACTGTTTTCTTAAGACAGGCTCTGTGAATTCATTGTGTAGTTGAGGATGACCTTGACTTCCTAACCTCCCTACCACCACCTCCCAAGTGCTGGAATTGCAGGCATGTGTTTAAGAATAAATAAGCCACCATACCTGTCTCATTTATTCTTAAACACACAAATTGAACTCATTCTGTGTGCCAAGCTCCTTTCTAGGGCATGGAAATACCTCTGGAGAAGGCAGGAAAACTCCTTTTTTTTTTTTTTTTTTTGTGAGGGGACAGATAATAGCTATGTATGAATGATGTCACTTAGTGAAAACATTATAAAAATAGGATGCAATAGCAATCAGGCAGATGGCAGCATTCGATAGTCTGGAAGGGCCTGAAGTTCTGAGACTGGCAGGAAGACTTTGCAGAGAGATGGCACAGCCAGGGTAAAGAGCCTTTGATGTGAGTGAGGGCGACATATTTGTGTGTGGTGGTGGAAGGAGAGGGCCAGGGGGGCTGGAATTTGTCATTGGGGTGGAACTGGGGGTGGCAGAGGTAGACCATGCTGGGGTGGAAAGGCTGTAGTGTGTCACTTAGATTGTATTCTGAGTGGGATTCTGCAGCATAGACAGGTTTTTTTTCATCCTAGGCTGACCTCAGACTCTAAACGTAGTCAAGGATGACCTTGAATTTCTGATCTTCCTGCCTCTAACTCCCGAGTGCTGGAATTGCAAGCGTGCACCACCAAGCTGGTGCTGGGGGTCCAGGACGCGATGTGCTGCATGCCAGGCAAACACCCAACCAACCGAGTGATGTCCCCAGCGCCTTCTCAAGCTTGTTGTTGTTTATGGGCTTGCTCGTTTTTGAGATAGGGTCGCCTATGTAACCCTGGTTGGCCTGGAACTGGCTATATAGTCCAGGATAGCCTTTAACTCACAGAGATCCATTTCCCTCTATCTCCTGATTATGGAAATTAAAGGTGTATGTCATCACATGACCACCTGCCTGAAGTTTTTAGAGGGTGATTGCTGTGGAGGAGCAGCTTGGTGGTGGTGATGGCTGGGCAAGAAAAGTTGGCAGGAGAGTGTGCAAGTTTCCCAAGTGGGTGGTCAAATATTAAGGTAGGGGAATGAATCTGAAGTGTAGATTACAGAGTTCATGGAAGAGAGGAGATATTCCAAATGGTGGTGGTGGTAGATCTGACAGAGGTAGCTGATGGGTTGGACATGGCGAGTGAAGCAGAAAAAAAAAAATCTAGACTAGATGGGTCCGAGTGTGTGGCTAAGGCTCCTGGTGATGCGGTCCTTTGCTGAGATAAACAAGTGACTACCTGGACCTGACCGGGCAGGAGGCTGCATCTGGAGGAGGTCAGAGGCAGGGATGCAGAGCGTTATCAGGAAGTATAAGTGCTGCCTGCTCAGCCCCAGCCCCATCTCTGCATCAATGGACATTGCTAGCAAGTTATGGTCTCACCCAGTTACAGCTGCAGGGCCCTTCCTAGCATAGTCTTGGCATATATTTCCAATGCACTTTTCACATGGTATGGGCTAGGAGAAGGAAACCACCTATGTCTAGTCTGTGTACCAGGAGGATACACCTCTGTTTACTTGTCTGGAGAGAAGTCCCCTTCTTCTATTTTGTAGAAGGATGCTAAGTGGACCCCTTGAGTTTCTGACATTGCCTAATTTTCCTGTGTTGGTGCACATGCCTGTAATCCCAGTGCTCAGGAGGCTGAGGAAGGAGTCTTTTGAGTTCAAAGTCAGCCTGGGTTATAGAAGACTATCCAAAGTGAAAAAAACAAGCAAACAAACAAAGAAAAACATAAGCAAAACACCACAAACCTCCTTTCTATCCATCTGGTCTTCATTAACCCTGCTACTCGTATAATTTGTGTTATTATTACTTTTAGTTAATTAAAAGGGGTGGAGGAAGAAACCAGTTAGTTTCTTGGTTTATCTAGCCACATTCAACTGCCAGATCCACTCTGACTGCTTCCATCAACAGAGTTGGTTAGGGTATGTAAATGCTTAAATTCTGCATCCTGTGCACCCCTCCCCCGTCCCTCACTCCCCCATCCCTCACTCCCTCACCTCCTGTGCACATGCACGCGCGTACACACACACACACACACACACACACACACACACACACTGTCATTTCTCTTTATGGGAGGACTGTCTAACAACTGGAACAGAAGAATAACTTGTTTTTACTTGGATCAACTTTCCTTCAGACACAGGCTGAGAATTCTGCATGACCTCCTCCCCAGTTCATCATGACCTCAAAAAGACAGACTCATTGATACTTCAGGAAGTGGCAGGACACTTAGTTCTGGAGTGTAAATCCAGAAAGACTTTTTGGAGGAGGTATCCTAAGCTACAAACTGCAAGTTTAGGAGGAGTGAGAGTGAAAGCTTTTGTTTTTGTTTTGTTTTGTTTTGTTTTTTGAGACATGGTTTCTCTGTGTAACAGCCATGTCTGCTGTCCTGGAACTTTCCTGAAACTTTATTTGTAGACCAGGCTGGCCTGGAACTCAGAGATCTGCCTGCCTCTGCCACCTTAGTGCTGGGATTAAAAGTATGCTCCACCAGGGCCTAGCAAAAGCTTATTTTTATTTAATTAAAAAATATGTGTGCAGTGGTGATGGTGGTGGTGGTGGTGGTGGTGGTGGTGGTGGTGGTGGTGGTGATGGTGGTGGTGGTGGGGGTGGTGGTGTATAGCACCAAGCAAGTGTGAAGGTCAGAGGACAGTTTTTGGGAATTGATTCCCTTTTTCCATGATGGGATCCAGAGATTGAACTCAGGTCGCAACCTTGGCAATAAACAGCTTTACCCACTAAGACCACCTCTCAAGTAGCCCAGGCTAGGTATCTGAGGATGAATGACATTGAACTTGTGATCCTCCGGCCTCAGCATTGCTTCTGTGAATGGAGTGCTCAGGATGGAATCCAGGATGTCACGTATGCTAAGCAAGCTCTACCAACTGAGCTATATCCCTGGAGCAAAGCTTGAACGTGTGTCAAGAGATTAGATTTTTCTCACTAAATCCTCACATAATACTGTGAAGGAAACCACCTACTCCCTAGTGTACAAACTGAAGCTCCGGGGACAAAATGCCCCCAGTTTATCAAGTCCCTAGACTAGGACTTGGACTTAGCCCTAATGGGAATACTGAAGGGAACAGAAGGTGATGGGAAACAGAGCAGGAAGTCAGGGACAGAGGGTGGGGGAGGAGTGTGTCACCACGGGCGACTGTGACTCACTCTCTGTCATCCCTAGGGATCGGACCCAGGTCACCCAGGTCGGAGCACATTCGGTATTGGGATCTTTCCCATCCTGGGGGAGCATTTGGGGAGAGAGCGAGGGTGGTGGAGAGGAAGGTGGTGGTGGGGTCTATTCTTGTGTAAATGGGTATGGAGAGGGTGCAAAGCACAAGGACCTCAATCTCCACCTGAAAAGGTGGGAACCCTTTCCCCAGGACATTCTTGACAGTAGGCTGATCTAGAGTGGGTTTGGAAGTCATGTGCACATGGAGTAGGCGGCTAGTTCCCCCTAAGTCCAGTTCTGCTAGTCTGTGCTGGATCCTCCTCATACCCACACTCTTCTCCTGGTATGAGTCACCTTGGAGAGAGAAGTCCGCTAGGGAGAGGCCTCCAAAGCGGTCCAGGTGCTCCCTGCAGTCGCGTCCGTCCGCGGCAGGGTCCCGGTGGTGGAGATGCAGGCATCTGGGAGCCAGCTGGGACCGCCCGCCTGCGCCCGGCGCCCTCGGAGCCTCTCGCGGCAATTGGGAGCTGATGTCACCGGCGCCCCCGGGCGCAGCGTACCAGGTGTTGAGACAGCCACCGCCGACTCCCGGGATCTTTTAAGTCCCACGCGGTCCTCGAGTCACGCCGGTCACCGGGGTTGCTGAGGCCGGGACCCTGCGCCAATTGCAAACGCAATGGACAGGGCTAGGGAAGGATCGGTGAGTGCTCGGCCCGAGGGGGCTAGCTAACCAGGAGCCAGCTTGAGGACGCACCCTTGATCTCATTCATTTGCGAGACTGGTGACAGGAACTAGGTGCAGAGTCGGGGAGGGGTAGACAAGCAGTAGGCTTAGCAAAGGCAGAACCCTGATGCGTACAAAGCCTGGCTGAGAGACAGTAGTTTGGGAGGGCTTCCCGATGGAGAGGGCTTTGAGGTGGTACCCGAGTGGGGGGTGCATGGCACTGGAGTGGTTTGTAATAAAGTCTGGTCTAGCACAGCAGCCCCCCAAAACAGATAGGGAAGGAAGAGTTGGCAAGCAGGCTGGACAAAGTTTTGGTGAGAAAGAAAGAATTCAAGGTGTTAGGAAGGTTAGACACCAGAGGCAGAAGCCGGACATAGGGAATGGAGGTGAGCATCGGAGAAGACAGGTTTGTGTAGTTACAGTCACTCTTCTCTTCCAACTGCGTGCCTCCACTTGTCTGGCTTCCTGAACCAATGTTGTGTACCTCCGCTCTGAAGCCTCCCACTGTCACTTCAATAGAAACCAGCAGGGGCTGTTTCCTGTGTTTTTCTGCCATGACAAGGCATTTACCCGGAGCAGCCATTCATCTATGGGTGTTCACCTCCCAGCTTGGGCTTAATGTAGCCTTGGTCAGCACAGGGAAGCTCCGGTGTTCCCAGCAAGCTTACTGACAAAGCAGTCTCCTTGTGAAAGCCTGTGTCCCTGCCATTGTACTGAATACTCTGCACCAGGCACTGAGTGTGAATCTCACTCAAGTCTTTCAAACTAAGATGCCATGACTGTCTTTACCCCACGTTATGTGTCTGTGGAGTATGGGTGTGTGTGCATGTGCATATGCTTGCCTGTGAGTGTGTGTGGACCAGAGGTCCATTTTAAGTTTTTGTTTGTTTATTTTGACATGGGTGTCTCCCTATATGTCCCTGCCTGGTCTGGAACTGGCTGTGTAGACCAGGCTGGCCTCAGACTCTGATTCTCCTGTCACTGCCTCTGAGTGCTGGGATTAAAGGTGTGTGTCACGATGCCCAGACTGTCCACCTTTAATATATATTTAGTGTGTGTGTGTGTGTGTGTGTGTGTGTGTGTGTGTGTGTGTGTGTCCTGTGTATGGAGGGGGTGCATGCCACGCACAGCGCAGTGTGGAAATCAGAGGAAAACTTGTGGGGTTTGGTTGTCTCTTTCACAATATGGAACCCAGGGATAGAACTCAGTTCCTTAGGCTTGGTAGCAGTTGCTTTTCTCCACTGAGCCTCTCTCACTGGCCCTATCCCTTATCTTCTGAGACAAGATCTCTCACTGAACCTGGTACAAAGTGTTGGCTAAACTGGCTGGCCATCAGGGATCTCCTCTGCCTGTTTCCGTTCCCCAGTGCTGGGGTTGGCGGTCAGTGATGCCGTGCTCAACTCTCATATGGGTACTGGGTGTCCGAACTCAGGTTGGTCTTGCTTGCACAGCAGGCATGTTTTTCACTGAGCCTTCTCGCCAGCTCTTCACCCCATTTTATAAATTGGAAAACCCGAGCCTTGGCTCAGGGAGGTGGTGCGAAATGCCCCAAACAACAATGCCATGTTGTTTGGAGGGCTTCCTGGAGGAGTTTGGGGGCTGAGCTGACCTGTTTTGGAAGAGAATCATGTGGGTGGTGCTGGGGTGGAAATCTGACCTAGTATAGTGACCCAAAAAATAATCCTTAGAGAAAGGAACTGTAAACAAGCAGATATGTAGCCCAGGCTGGCTTGGAACTCGTGGTAATTCTCCTGTCTCTGCTTCCTGATTGCTGGGATTACAGGCATGCATCACTCCACAGCTGCCTAGTGCTTTATGTACTTTGTTTTACTGTTTTGAGACAGGGTCTCACATAGCCCAATTTGGCCTCATATTCACAATGTTGCTGAGGGTGACCTTGAACATCCTAACTTTCCTGCCTCTGCCTCCTGAGTACTCATTACCATGTCCGGTTTATGCAGTGCTGGGGAGTCAAATCCAGAGCCTTATGCCTGCCCAACTCCCAGCCCAATACCAATTGCCTTTTAAGCTGCAGGATGACTTCTTTCTAAGTGATTACCCCTGTATCTTCTCTCAGAGCCTCTCCTCTGTCCTTCCATGCCTGTCCAGTGCCTCATGCATGCCTAGTTCCCCAGCCCCAACTACTTTACCTTCCTCATTCCTTACCTCTGACTTCCTCTCCTAAGCTCAGAGAGCCAAAAGGTGATGGATATGCTATTTGAGGTGTGCAGATGGGTGAACTCTGCAGGTGGTATGTGTCTGACTGATCTCACAAATCTGTTTTCCATTCCTGACCTCTGGGACCACAACCACACGAATATGTAAATAGATAAATTCCTGTGCAAACATATATACATATATATATGTATATATATATACATATATATATATATATATAGATAATGGTGGTGTGTATATATATTTTGTTTGTTTTTGAGTCTCATGTGTCCCAGGCTTGTCACTAATTCACCATGTCACTAAGGATGACTCCTGATCTTCCTACCTCTGCCTCCCAAATTCTGCCTCCCAAATTCTGGATTACAGATGTGCACCACCATGCCTGGCTTAATTTATACTGTCTTACTTTAATTCATGTGCTATATTTCCTTTTCTTTCTTTCTTTTTTTTTGAGACAGGGTTTCTCTGTGTAGCTTTGTAGACCAGGCTGGCCTCTAACTCACAGAGATCCTCCTGCCTCTGCCTCCTGAGTGCTGGGATTAAAGGCGTGCACCACCACTGCCCAGTTTGAAAGCCTTTTTTTTTTTTTAAAGATTTTATTTATTCAGTATACAATATTCTGCTTCCCTGTATATCTGCACACCAGAAGAGGGCATCAAATCTCATAATGGATGGTTGTGAGCCACCATGTGGTTGCTGGGAATTGAACTCAGGGCCTTTGGAAGAGCAGTCAGTGCTCTTAACCTCTGAGCCATCTCTCCAGCCCAAAAGGCTTTTTTATTTTATTTTTATTTTTATTGTTTTATTATTTATTTATTTATTTATTTATTTATTTATTTATTTTGGTTTTTCGAGACAGGGTTTCTCTGTGTAGCTTTGGATCCTATCCTGGCACTCACTCTGGAGACCAGGCTGGCCTCGAACTCACAGAGATCCACCTGCCTCTGCTTCCCGAGTGCTGGGATTAAAGGCGTGTGCCACCAACACCAGCTGAAAGGCTTTTTTAAGTTTAAAAAAATGCCTGGGGCTGAAGAGATGGCTCAGTGGTAAAGAACAATTGGGGCTCTTCTAGAGAATCCAAGTTCACTTCCTGGCATCCATGTGAGATGGTTTGTAACTCCAGCTCCAGGGGATCTGATGCCTTCTTCTGGCCTCTGTGGGCACTGCATTCTGTAATACACATACACATAGATAAAACAGTGCTAAGTGACTTATGTACATATAGCTTGGCAGTTATATGTGTAATTGTATCTATAGGCTAAACACGAGTATAGGATAGCTAGGTCAAAGGGTATATGAATTTATAGTTTTTGTAGATTTCTCCACATCATGATCAAAGGCAGAAAGAATTATTATTCTCACAATCAAATGCATGAGAGCATCTGTTGTTTTGCAAAGCTTTTCTGGCTCATCTTGGGCAGCTGAGGGTAAGATGACAGGATTGCTCTTGACTTTGCTAAAATATTAGTGTCCTTTGCCCCCCACTCCCCATGTAGCCCTCTTGGGACTGGGGTTGGGTAGGGAGATGCCTCAGCCTGATCCCTGACTGCTGTTTCCTTTTCCCTTTCCCATGACTCTGGCTAGGACACGGAGTTACAGAGGAAACTAGATCATGAGATCCGGATGAGGGAAGGGGCCTGCAAACTACTGGCAGCCTGCTCCCAGCGAGAGCAGGCTCTGGAGGCCACCAAGAGCCTGCTGGTATGCAACAGCCGAATTCTCAGCTACATGGGCGAACTGCAGAGGCGCAAGGAGGCCCAGGTGCTGGGGAAGACAGGCCGGCGGTGAGCAAGGGAGGTGTCTGAGGGAGGGAGGCTTTGTCCATGATACAGCAAGTGGCTGTGTGGAGTGTTATCTATGGCACAGCAAGTGCCTGTGTTGGAGTATGCATGGTATGGATTGAAAGCTCAGAAATAGGAGCCAAAATATGCTCAGAGCTCAGATCAACCTCCTGTAGGGGACCTTCTCACAAATACCTGTCCTGGCCATGAAAGACACCTTAGTGTTTTACCACAGTGGTAGATCATCCGGAGTGACTGGGACTGACTGGGAAAGCCAGTGTATCTGATGGAAGCTGGCGATCCAAACCACAAGTAATGCAAACATGTTAATTTGTTGAGGCCAGCCCATGATCAGCTATGTCTGGCTGGTTTCTGGAAAACTAATTTTCTCAAAGCCAGTTCACCAAATGGCCAATTTGCTGAATGGCCAATTTACCACAAATTGAAAATAGCTTGTTGTACCTGGGGTTCACCATCAGAGGCAGGAGTTGGGAAAGCACATCATTAAAAATCACTTAAAGGAAGGCTCCCCATTTGTAGACATTAGTTGTGCATTCCAAAGGAGCTCAGCATCAGTGTGTGACCTCTACACCGTGCCAACACTACAGTGCACTCTGCCAGTCTAACTGGTCAACCATGAGACTGCTGGAGTCGAGTGAAAATGTTAGAGAGAAAAATACTCGGCAAATTGGTCACACTGAGGATTGGTCATTTTTGGTAAATGAGTCATCTGGGGAACTGCCTGCCTCATCCTCACTGGCATGGAGGAGCTGTGCCAGGGGCACACCAGGAAGCCCACAAAAGGAAAAACACATCATCCCATCGCTGCTGCTTTTAGCAAGAGGCCAAGCAGACAGGAGGCAGTTCTCAGGTAGCCATGACAGATCAACCACACAGCCCCCAAAGTGGGAATATGAAGTACATTTAATTCCCTAGCAGCTAATTGTGCTATATTGTATAGGCATCTCAAAGACGACAGCTGGACATGGTGGTTTCTGCCTGTGATCCCAGCATATGGGAGGCTGGGATAAAAGGATTGCTGAGTTTGAGGCCAGCTTGAGCTACAGAGTGAGACCTTCACTCTCAAACAAGATGGTGGGAATAAGTGACTTCTAGAGTTGCAAGAGAAACCTGCAATCTCTCCAAGCCCATGGTTTAAAGTGTGTGTGTGTGTGTGTGTGTGTGTGTGTGTGTGTGTGTGTGTATGTGTGTGTGTGTGTGTGTGTGTTTAAAGGGAATCTCTTGAGGCACCTGTTCCTTCAAGGCCCCGGTTGTCTCTGGATGGTCAGGAACAATGCTAGCATGGGGAGGAGCCAGAGCTATACCTGTGTGTTAACTTGGCTCAAATGTTCCTAAGACTAGCAAATCTCTGAGTTCTGTCAATAGCTCTCCTCCGGTCCCTTAGTCCTGCCATGCCAACCAGACTAGGAATCAAGGGCCTCTTAGAGCTCTTGAGAGTCAGAACAAAAGGGAGGAGAGTGGGAAGACCAGGCCAGGACTCTGTGATCTGCCCACAGACCTTCCGACAGTATGCCGCCCCCTGAGCGTTCCCCTTGCCGTGGCCGGGTCTGCATCTCTGGTAAGAAATACACAGCTGCCACAGCTGCTGGCACCCCTCACCCCACCACACCACCTCCTGCCCGATTCTGACCCCTCTTCCTTCCCCACTCTGCCCTTTAGACCTCCGGATTCCACTCATGTGGAAGGACACAGAGTATTTCAAGAACAAAGGCGGTGAGTGCCACACACTGGGACAAATTCAGGGGAGTGTTCAGGAGAGGTGGAGACTCTTGTTGACAGCTTTAATGTTTTTATTTCTCTTTATTTCCAGACCTGCACCGCTGGGCTGTGTTCCTACTGCTACAGCTGGGGGAACAGATTCAGGACACAGAGATGGTCCTGGTGGACAGGACCCTCACAGACATCTCTTTTCAGAACAATGTCCTCTTGTGAGTGGCTTGCCTGTGGCTCCTTCCTTTCTTCCTCCAGCCCTGCTGCAGCTCCCGTGGGGCTGCTCTGGGGCATGGAAGTGGAGAGGACGGAGAGGCAGATGGCCTGTGGGCATCCCTGTGGAGCTGTCCTGAGCTTACGCCCTCCTTCACCCTATGCCCTCCTGAGCCTCCACTTATCACCCTCCTCTCTCTTCTGCCTGTGTAGTGCTGAGGCAGGGCCAGACTTTGAACTGCGGCTGGAGCTGTATGGGGCCTGTGTGGAAGAGGAGGGGGCCCTGGCTGGTGCCCCCAAGAGGCTTGCCACCAAACTCAGCAGCTCCCTGGGCCGTTCCTCAGGGAAGCGTGTCAGGGCATCACTGGACAGTGCTGGGGGCTCCGGGAACAGTCCCATCCTGCTGCCTACCCCAGCTGTGGGGTAAGACCAGTGCCTTCAGCTGCCTCCAACTCCCCATCGGAGACCATGTCACACTGAATGAGCAGGCATTCTGGCTAACACTAGAGTTAGGCCTCAGTCAGTCTATAAGCCTAACAGTGGGGAGGCAGAGAAAACTTGGCTTTGGGATCTTACCTGTTTAGCAGCCACAGAAACATCTTATAGGACGGGGGATGTAGCTCAGTTGGTAAAGCGATTGCCTAGCATAAGCATACACAAAGCCTTGAGTGGGGTGGTGCATACCTGCTATTCCAGCACTTGGGAGACAGAGGAAGGAGGATTGATCATGAGTTCAAAGTCTTCCTCATTGCAGAGTGAGTTTATGGCCAGCCTGGTGTACATTAGACCCTGCCTCAAAACACCAAAAACAGGGATGAAGAGACTGGCTCAGTGGATAAAGCACTTGTGACCTCCTCTAGCTAGCAAGCTGGTGAGCTAGACTAGTCAAATCAGCAAGCTCTGGGTTCAGTGAGAGACCCAGCCTTCATAACTAATGTACGGAGCAATTGAAGAGGACACTCAGTGTCGATGCCTGGCCTCTACACATCACACGCACACATGTGCCTCCCATACCTATTGTGTGCTTTGGTAGCGGAGCCTACATCACCTGAAGTTACCAGGGTTCGGAGGGAGCCGCCTCATCTGGTGACTGACTAAAGAACACCCACCCTCCCAGAGCTGCCATGAGAATTTCAATGGGACAATGTATAAGTGTGGGTCCGGGTGCCTAGCAGGAGGTCAGCAAGCAGGAGGCAAGCTAGTTGTCTGTGGTAGCTTGGCAATGGGACTTGCAGCACTTTGCTGCCCCACACCCCACTCCACTGATGTCCCCTTCTCCCTTCAGAGGCCCCCGGTATCACCTCTTGGCCCACACCACTCTCACCCTAGCAGCAGTGCAAGATGGGTTCCGCACACATGATCTCACCCTTGCCAGTCACGGTATGCATATGAGTGTGTGCTGGGGACACTGGCCCTGCTGGGAAGGGTTGTGGGCTAGTCCCCTTCTCACTCCCCATCCTCATCCTGTACGTCCTCCTCCCCCAGAGGAGAACCCTGCCTGGCTGCCCCTGTATGGTAGCGTGTGCTGCCGGCTGGCCGCTCAGCCTCTCTGCATGACACAGCCCACCGCAAGTGGTACCCTCAGGGTGCAGGTGAGGGGTCCCAAAGGAGTGGAAGGGGACATGGAGGAGACAAAGCTGGACTACCTAAGAGTAGGATGTGGATCTGGAGGGACAAAGTGGTTTGGGAAGACAGTGGGGTGAGTTCTGGGGACGTGGGGTCGAAGCAGGACTGGGAAGAAGGTGTACGGTGGGGAGGCAAGACTCCCTAGAAGACACCAAATCATTTATGCAGCAAGCCGGGGAGCTACAGAATGGGACACTCGTGCACGGAGTCCTGAAAGGCACAAACCTCTTTTGTTACTGGAGATCTGAAGGTGCAGACACTGGGCAAGAACCCCTGTTTACTATTGCCATCAACAAGGTAATGAGTCCCATGGTAGTGAGGTCACCTGGTGTTTAGGCTCAGGCACCTCTTTCTCAAGGCCCTAGAGAGTTGGGCTCAGGCCTCAGAGCCAGGGAGGGTGAACTTTGTTCCTAAGAACATCAATCTCTGCTCGGCCGCAGGGCCTGGGATGCAGCGGCCACTTCCCCATATCTTCCCATCCCTCAAGCGATACTAAGAAAGTTATCCTGCTCACTCAGCATCCACAGCCCTTTCCAAATCCCAGGGGATTCACTGCTAGGCCAGGCAGTTTTCCCTGTCGTCCTCTCTGCTTCCAGTTTGTAGCTGCAGATAACTTGCTGCTCGTCTCTACATAGGTGCAATTGGGCCACTATGCTCACTAGCCAGTGTTGCTTTCCTGTGTGTTTGCTTTGCTTTGCTTGGTCCTGGGGCCAAATTGAGAGACTTGTGTGTGTTAGGCAAGGGCTCTACCACTGCGTCGCACCCCAGACACCCTGTCTGTTTGGGAAGTACTGGGTGGGCAACCCAAAGCTGGACCTCGGTAACTCTTACCCACCGCTGCACCTTCCCTGCCTTGCTCTGTCTCTCCTCCCTGCCTCAGCCTGCTGCTCCTTCCCAGTATCAGCATAGGGACTTTATCCCCGGCACCTCCTTACTGTCCCCTCACCCCGCAGTTAGCAGGAGGCAAATGAAAGCTCAGCAGAACTCCTAAAGACACTTCTAGGCAGGGGTGATGGGCTGCTTCCCAACCGAGGCAGAGGTGAAGGCAGCCTTCTTTCTCCGGCAGGAGACTAGGGTCCGGGCAGGGGAGCTGGAGCAGGCCCCAGAGTGGCCTTTCACCCTCAGCATCAGCAACCGGTATGGAGGTGATGAGGTGACAAACACCCTCCGGGTGGAGAGCAGAGAAGCCCTGCAGAACTGGATGGAGGCTCTGTGGCAGCTCTTCTTTGACATGAGTGAGAGAAAGGGCTGGGCTGAACCTCTGGGTGGGCCTGAGGGCGGAGGGCTGCGTGAAAGCTGGGGATGTGGCACCCGGTGTTCTCGCAGGCCAGTGGAAGCACTGCTGTGATGAAGTCATGAAAATCGAAACCCCTGCACCCCGGAAACCCCCACAAGCCCTGGCCAAGCAGGGGTCCTTATACCATGAGATGGGTAAGTGAGGGGAAAGTTAGCGGGGGAGCTGATGGGAAGGGGAGTTGGGGTAATAGAAAGCACAGTGGAGTCCAGGTCCCACACAGCTCGACTGTATTCCCTTTTTCTCTCCAATTCTGAAAGCCACCTCTACCCAAGTTCAAAGCAAACCCCCAAGAGCCAGATTCATTGCAGCCGTCTATCCTAACCTTCTTTTCTGTTTCTCTGTGCATGTGGACTCCTGCCTCCTCTTCCGACCTCACTTGTCCGGCACTGCTTTCTCTCCTTTTTTTCCTTGGTTTCTTTATCCACTTCTGCTCCCTACCCACCCCAATGTCACACAGTTTTATCAGAGCCTGTGGCCTCAGGGGGTCCCAGTGAGGGGCTGCTCTTGCAGAATAATGCCATCTCAGCGGAGATTCGGGCCTTGCTTTCCTCCTATTACAGTGACAGGTGACAGGGCTGAGCAGGCCAGGGCTTGAGCTCTGACTAGCCCCCTCCCGTGCCCTCCTCCCCTGGTGCCACAGCAATTGAGCCGCTAGACGACATCGCAGCTGTGACAGACATCCTGGCCCAGCGGGAGGGCACAAGGCTGGAGACGCCCCCACCCTGGCTAGCAATGTTTACAGACCAGCCTGCCTTGCCTAGCTCCTCCTGCTCGCCTGCCTCAGTGGCCCCAGTCCCAACCTGGACGCAACCCCTGCCTTGGGCGCGACCCCGAACCTTTTCCCTGGATGCTGCCCCCCCAGACCACTCCCTTGGGGCTTCTCGCTCGGTTGCACCCCTCCCCCCACAGCGATCCCCACAATCCAGAGGCTTCTACAGCAAAAGTCAGCTCCGCACATGGCTCCAGTCCCCAGTGTGAGAGAGGCACCAGCAACAGGATCTGGCCAAGAAAGAAAACGACCCAAGGGCAACTGGGCCCTAGGTCCAGCGCTGTGGGGGTGCTGTGCTCCTCTTCCTCCACTGAACTAGAAAGGAAGGCTGGAGAGGGGTAACAGAAGCCCCTCTTAAGTTGTGGTTAGCATGGTACTGAGGGGACCATTGCTGGAGTTGGTTGGGATCCCCTAAGCTCTTCCTGGGAGAAAACTGGAACAAGTCTGCCCTGCCTCCCTGCACTAACCAGCCCCCCCCCCACCCCGGGGTGGGGGAGTGGGGAGGAAAGCACCTCTCTTGTGACTCCATTAAAGTTATTTAACAGCTAGCTGCCTTCACTTGGTCTCTGAGGACCAGTGGCTTCTGTGTGTTCTGAACCTGCCACTCCCTCCTCCCTGGAGCTTGCTGTTTAGAAGTGTGGCTGCCATAGTGAGTGGTCAGACAAGGGCTTGGTGGAGAAATACTTTATAAATACCAGGGGAGAAGGGAAGTGTGTCCTCTCTCAGACACTGCTGAATCTCAGGATCTCAGCAAGGTCATAACCCGTCACTGCAAAGGAACAGCCCGATGGGTCACAGAACCGAGCACCACACAGCTGGGTGTCAGAAACACATTCACCGTGGCAGTGTTCAACCTGAGGAGGGGAAAGACTGGTCAATTCTGCTGCTCACTCTATGCTTGGGTCCCCATTCCCACCCTTCTACAAACATACCTCAATGGAGCCACTCTCTGGATTCCTGCTCAGCTTCCAGATGTGCACAAAGGTATCCTCAGCTGCAGAGAGTAGCTAAAAGAGAGAAAGCCATGAGGGATGTGCCAGGAGTCAGAATGTGGGCTAACGTGCCAGTCCAGGTACCTGGGGATGGTGTCACACTGAGTATGGAGACAAGCCTGGGCTATGCGTCTGAGTACCAGGATAAGGACTTAGGGATGCAGGACACTGACCTTGCCCACCTCTGGAGCTAGGTCCAGGGCACAGATGGTCCGGGCATGGGCGCTGATCTGGACATGGAGTGCTCCTGTAGTGGCATCATACAGACGCACTTGCCCATTCCCATATCCTGCTGCCACCATCCCCTGCCACAGCTGCACAGAGGGGCACGGGACCCTGCGAGGATGATGTTCAATTTTGGTTTCTCCAGACCCCAACACACTCCCTCCCCTCCGAAAGGCCACAACTCTTTTCTGCCTCTCCTACCCGAAGCCTGGGATTCGGGTCAGTAACGTGAACACAGTTCCTGACCTCCAGACACACAGAACTCCTGAGTCATCGGCTGTCACCATGTCAGCAACACCATCCTGAGGAGAAAGTCAGGGTCAGCTTTTCCCTTTACAATCTGTGGTCCAGAGTGCAGGGCAGGAGGGGAAGTGAAGCCATGCCTGCCTCTTTGCTTCTACAGAGGTGGGCCCTTCCTTTACCAGCTCAAGATACCAGATAGTCCCTTAAACACAGGTTCCTTGTAGGTCCTTATATAAGCCTCACAACCACCACCTCCCCTGCCTCCATCATGGAGCAGGAGAGGATGTATAACTGTTCCTTTGGGATAGGTGACAATAATAAAGCCACCAGTCCCTGACTTTTTTTGGAGGATTTGTAATGAGCCAATCACAGTCACAACTAGTCCCTAGGTCTTCTGACCTGGCCAAGGCAGACAAATCAGGTTCAGTGAATGGAACAAATGATAAAACCCACACCCTGTTTTCAAAAGGTTTGCAATCCATGAGGACAGGGCCTAATCAGAGCGAAGGTGGAGGGAGGGGATTACACTAGGGCTACAGATCTCTGGAAAGGCCAGCCCTGGAGCTGGGTCTCTCGCTCAAGTCCAGAGAAGGAAGCTACAGGGGTCAGTGTTGGAAATGGTTGGCTCCGACTTCTGGATTCACACCAGCATTGGAGAGTGATAGTGATTTTTATAGAACACTTAATGTAAAGTATGTTTTTCTCCAGATCTGAGGTTGCTACATCTAAGAAAGTACAGATGATCCCAAAGTCACACTTGGAGGTGCCTCCCAGTGTGAAGAGGGCTCCCAGGCCATGACAAGTAGAGGAAGTCTACTCACCTGTCCCTGGGCACGCTCAGTGGCAATGTCTGTGATTGGTGTCTGGTGCCCAGCCAGCTCCTCATTAAGTACAATGTTGGTACCCTTAGCAGGGATGTCAAACACCAGTATCCGACCAGACCATGTTCCTGCAGCCAGAACCAGTGTCCAACTGATGGCTTCCTGACCCCTCTGGGTCTCCAGTCACCACGTTAACACTCTCTCTACACCCTGGAAGTCTCCCACAGCCCTGACTTTCCATTTCACCACCCCTCCCTAAATGTTATGAGTCTCTGATACCCTCCCCTCCCCACCTTCCCCCTAACCCTTCACGAGTTTGTCAACCCTTCAGCATCCTCCTGGCTAAAAACCCATAACCATGTACCTCATAGACCTTAATGCCCTGCTATGAGTCCTCTCACCCACACAGATGAAGTGAACACTGGCAGCAATTCCTCGGGCAAACAGAGTCTGTGCTGAATATAAAGACAACCTTCAGAAACGGCCCCAGCAAATTCCCCCAGCTTCCACCCCTGCTCCACTTGGCCCTCCAGGTACCTGAGGAAGCATCTCCTGAATCCAAGGCATGCCAATAGACCATGAGGGAACCATCAGACTCATACATCTGTAAGACAGGGGCAAGGATGAGAGCATGATCCAGCTGACCCTTGCTGAGCTCTGGGCCCAGCACTTCACACAGCCATATTAGCCTGAGTCCACATTATCTTCAGACTTGTTCTGGTAGGCAGGCACTATTCTTATCCCTAGTTTTCAGAGGAGGACACTGAGGCAACGTGTACCAAAGGTCACAAAGTTATTGAAGGAGGCAGGTGGCTGAAATGGCACTTGAAGAGCGAAGAAAATGGAAAAGTATGAGGATGAAAATTGAGAAAGGGTGGGCTACACACATGGGAAATTTGGAAGCGTTTATTTGGAGGGAGCTGGGAAGGGTGGGGGCAGAAGAGAGAGGGGAGGAGAAATCTCTTCTCACCTGTATCCTTCGATGTGAGGTGAGAACCAGCAGTACTCTGAAGGGGAGGACACACCAGTGGACCTGGACAGACATCACAGTAGAGGGCATAAAGCTTCAATAGGGGTTAAAGAACAAAGGTAGAGCTGTTTAAGCAACACCTCTTTAACCCCTAGCCTCACCTGGGTGATAAGTGGGGGGCTCACTCCAACGCCTACTTTGACTTGGAGCTGGCGCTGGGCCAAGGGCATACCCCCAGGGGCAGAGCTGAGAATCTGGGCGCTCGGTCCATGAACCACTCCAAAATGCATGAGATCGCTTGCTGGAAGCTGCAGTACACTGAGGTTGTTAGACAAGGCGGCGGCAGAACCCCGAAGTGGGATGGAGCGCTCGCGGCGGTACATCCTGGGAGAGAGATACCAGAGTCACCGGAGGGAACCAGGAGAAGGCCACAGAGAGCATTTGGACAGGGGAGAAGGGTAATGAGATGCAATCGTGAGACACTAAGAGAGACCCTTGATCAACGGGTTCAACGAGAAAAGTGACAAGGAGGAGAGGATCCCACGGAGCAGGAGAGAGCCCCAGAGTTGAGTATTGCGGCCGCCAGGGAATCCCACAGATGGTGATGGAAAGACCTGGTAGTACCAACGCGCCAGCTTTAAAAAGGCAGAATGAGTCCTCTAGTCCTTCCTCCCACAATTTGGTTACCTGAAGGTTTACACCAAGGTCAGAGGTCACACCTGCAACCCCCTCCACTCCCACCCCCAGGTCTGTCTTGCCTGAAGCTACGATCCTCAGGTCCCTCCGAATCCGCCGCCACCATAGAGACGACGCACTGACGCAAGGCCTCTGGGCGTGGCCTGTGGCTGGAATGGGCGGCGTGCGGCGCAGTTGCCGAGGCAACCGTGGACCGTGCCTGAGACCCTCGGGGCTGCTGGTTGCCGAGGCGACCGTTGGGCCGCAATCGCGGAGGCTGCAGCAATGGAGGGTCCTGGAGGCAGCTGAAACACGGCGTTGGAGCGACTGTCGTGACAATGTCACACGAAGGCTCGGTGAGCTTCAGCTGGACTTAGGGAGTGCGCAAGAACTGGGGTTAGCCGGTGTATAGAGCAGTGGACTAGCTCTGGGTTCAAGATGGGCATGGTGTATCTCAGTTTCCGTGGTAAAGGGTCAATGGCTGGACCAGGTCAAGAGCAAGCGAATTCGGAAACAATGACCTGCTAGTTGTTAGTATTAACTCATTTATGCCGAGGAACCTGTTTCGGTGGGTAAACCAGAATCGGGCTCTAGGACTTGATGGGTGAATCTCTATCTTGACAGTTTCAAGACCATGAAATGGATCAAACAATTCAGAGGCTGACTTTAAAGTTAATTTATTGTATTATCATTATTTTTTTAGACAAGAGTGTGATTATGTAGACCAGCTGGCCTTTAACTCGGAGATCAGCCTGCCTCTGCCTCCAGATTGCTGGGATTAAAACCATGTGCTACCATGGCTGGCCTAGACCTCACTATATAGATCAGGTTACCCTTGAACTCATAGCTCCTTCCCATACCAACACTCTCCTATCCCACCGTCAAAAGCCAAATTGTTTAAGTTTAAAAAATTATTATTTTATGTGTATGGGTGTTTGGCCTGCATGTACGTTTGTGCCTGATCCCTGTAGAGACCAGGAGAAGGAACTGGAGGTACAGTTTTGAGCCATCATATGGATGCTGGGAACCAAAACCAGGTCCTCTGGAAGAGCAGCCAATGCTCTGAGCTGCTGAGCTGTCTCTCCTACTCCCAAAGTCAAGACATTAAAAAAAAGAAGAAGAAGAAAGAAAAAAAAAAGCAGAAGAACCTTAGGAAAATGAAAGAGTAAAAAAAAAAAAAACCAAAAAACTTTGTCCTCCTTTGTCAGTTGCACTCCCCATCTTTGTTAGATACAAGGCTGGGAGGAGACACCTAAGGGATCAGTTCTTTGTTTGGGGTTTAAAGATTTAGGCTGAACACAAGGAAGCACAGCTTTAATCCCAGCACTAGGGAGATGGTCTCTGGGAATTTATTGGGAGAGTAGGGAATAGGAGACTCCAAATTGCCTGAAAGGATAAATATTAGGAAATATAAAATGAGCAATAAGGTTGGAGGTGAGTAGGTAGATATAGGTTTACATTTGGAGGTAAGTTTTGGAAGGAACTATCTTCCTTCATTGTTTCACTTTGTAGCCCAGTCCAGCCTGGACTGGAGCTGTCCTGCTTTAGGCTCCTGAATGCTGGGTGTACTGGTATAAGCCACCACAACTGGCTCTGGTCATCTTTACAAATTTTTATTACTCATTTACATCTCTTTTGTGAAACATTATATCCCTAGTTTACCTTTGAGAAATAGTTGCTTTTCTATTGCTGTCAAAAAACACTATGACCAAAGCAACTTATAAAAGAGTTTACTTACTTGAAGAGATGGCTCAGTGGGTAATAGCTCTTGTTGCTCTTGCAATGGACCCTGGTTCAATTCCCAGCACTCACATGGTGGCTCACAGCCATCTATAACTCCTAATTCCAATGAACCTGACACCCTCCGTGACCGATGTAGGCACCAGGCACACATATGGTGCACATACATACATGTAGGTGCAACACTCATACACATACAAAATAAAAGTAAGTCTTTAAAAAAAAAGAGTTTACTTTGGGACTTACAGTTCTAGAAACTTAGAGTCCATGGGACTGTCATGATGGGGGAGCATGGCAACAGGCAGACAGGCAATGGTGCTGGAGGAATAACTGAGAGCTCCCATCTTGAGACAACAATTACAAGGCAAATAGAGCTAACTGCAAATGATGGGCTTTTGAAACCTCAAAACTGGCCTCTGGTTATTCACTTCCAACAAGGTTACACCTCCTAATCCTTCCCAGTTTCATAACTAGGGATCAAACATCCACATATATGAGCTTATGGGGACTGTTCTTATTCAGCCCACCACAGGGGTTTTTAATGATTTGTTTGTTTGTTTGTTTTTCGAGACAAGGTTTCTCTGTAGCTTTGGAGCCTATCCTGGAACTTGCTCTGTAGGCCAGACTGGTCTTGAACTCATAGAGATCAGCCTGCCTCTGCCTTCCAAGTGCTGAGATTAAAAGGAGTGTGCCACCACCGTTTGGCCTTTAATGATTTTTAAAATTTTTGTTATATTTATTTATGTGTGTGTGTGTAGGAGTGTATGCCACAGTGCATAGATGGAGGTTGGAGGATGACTTGCAGGAGTTGGTTCTCTACCTGTGGTCCTGGGAATCAAACTGGTCATTAGACTTGGCAGCAAGCACCTTTACCTAAATGAGTCATCTTACCAACCCTCATTTTATTTCTCTTTGTTTTTAAGAGGTTTTAATATATCTGGGCATGTTTTTCTTTTCCATTTTTTTTTTTTTGTGAATTTGGGAAGCAAGAGTCAGGTTTTGGAATTAGACAAATCTGGATATGAATTCTAACTATACTACTTCCCAGGTGTGATCTGAGGCAAACTACATAAAATGAGAATAAAAATAATGGTTAAAGATGGTCTAGAGCAGGGTGGTGGTGACACACGCCTTTAATCCCAGCTCTTGGGAGGCAGAGGCAGGTGGATCTCTGTGAGTTTGAGGGCAGCCTAGTCTACAAAGCTACATAGAAAACCCTGTCTTCAAAAACAAAAACAATATACAAACAAAAAAAGGCCTGTAATCCTACCTATTCTATTTGGGAGGCAAAAGGACCATGAATCAGAGGGGATGGATGTCATCAAGGAAGCTGTTTTTCAAGCTCAATAGGACTGATACTCATATAAAACTCACAAGGATTGTGGTAGCATGAACAGGGCCTGTACAAGTTTGAGCCAGATAAGGTCCCAGTGCTGTGGGGGGAAGTGGACACAAGCTCCCATCCCCACCCAAGAAGCTATTTCCACTTGGTAACCACTTACAAAGGAAAAATCAATTTTACCCAGTGGAGTCTCCCTGGGTATATAACTACACTTAATGGTAGTTCCCATGCCCAGAAGTAGATGGCCAACAAAAACTATCTCCATGGTGCTTTTGTAGATTGTTTCATTTGGACTTTTAAAAAAATCTTTCAGGTCTTTTGCTTGTATATGGTTTCTGATTTTGTGTTTATATTGCTTTTGTTTTGGTGTGTGTGTGTGTGTGTGTGTGTGTGTGTGTGTGTGTTTGTACCTTTTCACTGTTTTATTTTTTATTTTATTCTGATTTGTTTGCCTTTTTAATTTTCCTGCTTTCTAAAGAGAAAGAGAGAAAGAAGGCCTGGAGTTGGATGAGAGGGGAAGTGAGGAAGATATGGAAGAGGGGAGAAGGGAAACTGATCGGAAGGTATTGTATTAATTTTCAATTAAGAAAAAGAGGACCACAAGTTAATTTCAAGGCCTGCTTGGACTACAGAGTTCAAGACGTTCCTAGGTACCTTAGTGAGATCTCAAAGTAAAAACAACAAAGCATGGTGGGTGGGGGAGAGTAGCAACACACACCTTTAATTCCAGCACTGGGAGGCAGAGGCAGGTGGATCTCTGTGAGTTTGAGGCCAGCCTGGTCCACAAGGAGAGTTCCAGGACAGATAGGGTTACATAAAGAGACTCTGTTTCAAATAGACAAAAGTGCAGAGGCATAGGGATTTAGTCTAGTGATAGAGAGCATGTACAATGTCCTGGGTTTAATCCCCAGAACACACATACAAAGGCAACAAACAAACCAAACACAGAGACCCGGGCATGGTGTCACATTCCCATAATTCTAGGATTTGAGAGGCAGAGGCAGGAGAATTGCTGAAACTTTGAGGCATGCCTAGTCTATGTAGCAAGTTCGAGGCCAGTTACACAACAAGATTGTTCCCAACAAACAAAAACAGAGAAGACTAAGTGTTCACAGATTCAAGTTCTTTGAACTTTCAAGAACTTGGACACTGCAGTAAGGCAAATAGCAAGAGCCGTAAATTGAGCACGGTTAGGTCTGGGGTTCAGTTTGCATCCAAACAGGCCAGGGCTAACTTCTGTCAAGTATCAGTTTCCTTGCTTAGTGGACTGTTGAGTGTTAAATTGAATCGAATACTTCAAAGTGTCGCTCCGCCGCATCACAGACTGTAGGTACCTTGTCCTGGTCCCCTTTCTTAGTAAACATCTTGAGAAAGTGTCTTTCCAGCCCATCAGTCCGATCCCCTCGGTTTCCTGTCCTGAGTGCCCGTTTCATTCCCACAGAGGCAGGTGCGAGACCGTGGGGTGACCCGCTCCAAGGCTGAAAAAGCTCGGCCACCCACCCAGCCAGTTCCGCAGGTGGACATCGTGCCTGGGCGGCTCAATGAGGCAGAATGGATTGCGTTTATGTCCCTGGAGGAGGGCGAGGACGTAGTAGGTGACATCTTGGCCGACCTTCTGACTCGAGTCATGGAGTGTGCCTTCAAAGTCTACCTGACCCAGCAGGTGGGCCCAGATCTGGGACTTCCAGACCCATCTATCTCTTCTGCCTCTTCTGGTGAGGCTGAGACCCTCCCTCGCTTCCACAGTGCGTCCCGTTCACCATTAGCCAGGCCCGAGAGGCCATGCTACAGATCACTGAGTGGCGTTTCCTGGCCCGGGATGAGGGAGAATCTGCAGTGGCGGAGGACCCCACATGGGGCGAGGACGAGGAGCCCCTGGCATGCACCACGGATGCCTGGGCCCAGGGCTCCGTGCCTGTCCTGCACGCACCGGCACCCGTTGGTGTAGAGGAGCACTTCCAAGGCGAAGTAAGCCCAAGCCCCCAGCCTCCTTCCGACAGAAGCCTCCTCCGGAGCCGCTCAGGACCACGAAGTGAGGTCCTTCCCCTCCCCTTCCGACATCTCATTACCCTTGTGTGTTTCCCCAGGAACCTGGGAACTCGGACCGGTTCCTTTTAGGTTCACCGTGGTTGGACAGAGACTCCCAGGAGCCAACAGCATCTTCACAGCCTTCTGCCGAGACAAGAGTCATCCCAGGACTCACGCCCACCTTGGAGGAGTTTCAGGAAGCTGAGCCCCAGGACGACTTCGAAGAACCCGATGGCCAGGAGCAAAGCGACGTCTTGGTCACGTCTTTAAAGGAACCTAGCCACATCTTGACCGGGCCGTCGAAGCAGTCTTCACCACCTTCAGCCCACAGCCCCCAACTTTCCCTGGATCTGCCCCATGTAGTCAGCCTCCAGATCTCTGAGAAGGGATCATCATCCCTCAGCTCCCATCTGTCCCTCGAGGATCTTTACAACGGCTTGCCTCAGCCAGACGCTGCAGGGGACCGGCTGAAACGGGAAAGCAAGGGCACGCCCCGCGCCCCCTCGGTCGGGTCTGTGTCCCTCCTCAGTGCGCTCACCCTAGAAAGGCCCTCCTGGTCGCAGCTGCCTGAATGCTTGGATTCGCCGCAAACCCGCAAGATGCCCATGGTGCGTCTGGATCCCGCGCGGTTGCCCCGTCGCTGGGTGCGCCCTGTGGCCGAGGTCCTGATCCCAGAAACCGAAACGCGCCCTTTGGAAATATACCGCGGGCGCCCGCGGGGTGAAAAGAGCCAAGCTGGGGCCCGAACCCCAGCAAGCCGGTCCCAAGCCCTCGGCTTGCACGCGCCCCCCAAACTCCAGGCCTCTCCCTTAAAGTTCCCTCTCCCTTGTAATGCTCCATTCCGTGCTTTGGGCCCGGATCCTACTTTAAACTTGGCCCAATCCGCACCAACCTTCGGATCAAAGTTGCCGTTCCTCAGCCCAGGGTTCCGCTTCCTCCCCACAAAACCAGGCCCTCCCGAAGTCTCCAGCAGTCCCAGTCCCAAATTATGGCCTCGAGCTAAGTGGCCGAGTGGTTGGGAGAGGGAGGCTGAGCAGCTAGGCGAGCTGTGGGGGGGTCGTACTCGCGTGCCTCCACAGGGCCAGGAACCTGCTGCTGACGACGCCTCGGACGACTCTGGATGGCCCCTAGCGGCGCCCCAGGTCCTCGAGGCCACGTCCCAGGTTCTGTGGAAGCCCATGGTTCTTTCAGAGACCATGAAGCTGGTTCCTGGTGTGAGTATGTGGAACCGGGGTACCCAGGAGTTGCTCAGCCCTGATGCCATCCTGGAGGAGGCTGAAGGAGGCACCTCCAATGGGGCTGAGCAGCAACCCATCCAGACAGGTGTGTCCAAGCCCCAGGTGATTATGGCACAGCTAATAAGGAAGGAAACCCCCAAAGCCTGGCTGCTCCCAGCCAAGCCTGTGCCCCACTCTGGGAATTGAACCCTGCCCAAAATAAACATGTGTTGCCGCAGGAACTGACTGGCGAGATGGTGTTATTTCTTCCAAGGCTATCTATCCTCTAACTGGACTGACTCCAGGAGGGCACAGCCATAGGAGACACAGAAGCATTGTAGACACATCTTTGCCCCCTCAAACACACCTTAAAGGAGAAGATATGAGGACTGTAAGGGACGGGGATGTAAGTGGGGGGTGGGGATGAGGTATCTGGCTCCCCAGGGAGAACTTTGCCCTTTCAATAGAGGAGGAAGGGCACAGCTGAGGTTATAAGCATAGAGTGATTCCATACATGAGTTCAACCTGCTTTCCTGACTCCTGGAGTTTAGTCAGTTCACCTTGGATTGAAAAATCCATTCTTTTCTGTTGCTTTTTGCTCCTGTTTTTTGGGAATTGAACCTAGAACTTTGAATATGCCAGGAAAATACTGTATCATACAGACATACAGGTAAAACACTCATACATACCCAATAAATCTTAAACAATTACAACATACACATAAATTTGTGGTTGCACAACACGAAACAGCAAAAGATTAGAAACAGGGCCTGGAAGATGGCTCAGCCAGTAAAGCACTTGCTATGCACAGCAAAGCCAAGCATTGAGGCCCTGGGTACAAATCCTATAATCCCATATTAGTGCCTATAGTCCCTGCACTGGGCAAGTCGATGGGAGGATCCCTTAGACTTGCTGGTTAGTCAGTCCAGTTAGAATTGATGAGTTCCAGGTTCAGTGAGAGCCCTTGTGTCAAAAAAATAAGGTAGAGCGTGAATGATGAGGACACCTAGGTCAACTTCTGACCTCCAAATGCACCCACACACATGCACCCACACAAACATATACACACAACTAGAAACAAAATAACTAGAGGAACCAGTTAATAAATCTGTATATCTACAAATGATGACCCCCCTCAGTTTTTCAAGTCAGGGTCTCTTGTAGCCTAGTCTGGCTATCAGGCCATGGATGGCCTTGAACTCCTGATCCCTCAACTTCCCAAATGCTGGGATTACAGACAGCAGTTTGTATGACTAGGAAAGATCCCCCTGCCCATTTGAATTTGATGGGTCAGTTAAGTTAAGAGTACTTATCCTCTCCCAGAGTACCTGGGTTCAATTCCCAGCACCCACACAGCAGTTCAGCTCGCAAACTTCTCTATCTCCAGTTCCAGGGGATCAAACACCCTCTTCTGGCCTCCCCACGTGCATGTGCCTGGTGGACAGATATACCATACATACAGGCAAAACACCATACACATAAAATGAATAAATCTTATGGAGAAGAGTGTCATCATATGTACTATACTACCCTTTGCATAAGAAATGGAAGGAGTAGAATTCTGTTCATATGTGATTGTATTTAAATAAAACACTTAGAAGGCTGGGCGGTGGTGGCACACAAAGCCACAGAGAAACCCTGTTTCAAAAAAACAAAACAAAACAAAAAACAAACAAAAAAAAGTTCTAGAAGATGACCAAGAAACTAAGTACCTGTAGCAGGCAAGGAGGCTGGGCTAGATTGGAATAAAGGTTAAAGGGAGGCTTCTCAGTACATACTTTTATACTGGGGGAGGGTGGTGAGACAGGGTTCCTTTTTTTTTTTTTTTTTTTTTTTTTTTTTTTTTTTTTTTTTTTAGTCCTGGCTGTCCTGAAACTCGCTCTATAGTCCAGGCTGCCCCAAATTCAGAGATTCAACTGCCTTTGCTGCTTGAGTTTTTTGTTTTGTTTTGTTTTTAAAATGAGACAGGGTCTTACTTTGTAATCCTGGCTGGCCTGGAACTTGCTAAAATAACAGATGGGCCTTGAACTCATAGACAACTACCTGCCCCTTCCTTCAGAGTGCTGGGATTAAAGGCATATGCCACTGTGCCTAGCTTAGTGAATATTTAAAGTATTAATTTGATTATTGTATTTTATTTAGTAGTGTGGTGTGTGTGTGTGTGTGTGTGTGTGTGTGTGTGTGTGTGTGTGTGTGTGTGTGTGCTCAGTTCTCTCCTACTTTCATGTGGGTTCCAGGAATCAAACACCTTGTTAGGCTTCTGTGACAAGTTCTTTTACCAGCAGAGCCATTTCACAGGTTCTAGCTTGGTCTTTGAATGGTGGGAATGCAGTGTATGTTCAGAATAACTGGAAATATTTAGAAGGTGAAATGGGAGTGAAAAGGAACTCAAGTAGAGGTGTCCATCTTTTCTAGATCAGTCACTGATAGTCTCATTTTACAAATAAGGAAACGGCACTGAGAGGTTAAATATCCAGCCCAGGATTTCACACAGCTAGTAAACTGAAGGTAGAACTGGAACCCGTCTGTGAAATCCTAACTCACTCGCTCCTGCACATTTGCACAATCCTTCCTTCACGCCTGCCTTCCTTCATTGTACACTTGTCTACAAGTGTTCCTCCTTGGAACCCCAGGTTACTCTAGAACTTGGGGCGATCTTCCTGCCTCACCCTTTCAAGTACTTAGTTTTAACAAGCCAATAAATACTCAAAAGCTAGCAAAGAGACATGGAAGAAAAAAAAGTCTTCGAGATGCCCCCTCTCAATGATTCTTTCCTCTTGGCCCTAGCCAAGGAGGAGCTGAGGAACGGCTGAAGAGGGGCTAGAAAAGGTGTGGACATTTGAGTTTACCTCTCTCTTCCCAGACTCCGCCTCCACATACGTCTCTTTTAGAGAACATACAAAACAAAAACTTCCAAGAAGTCCCCCGGTCCTCCGCCTGTAGAGGGCGCTCACCCCACCGCGCCTCTCCACTGTGGTCCTAATCGACTTCCCAGGAGTAGTGCGCGTGCGCTGGGGTGCACCCTGCCGCAGGTGTCTAGCTCAGTGCCTTATCCATGTCTTCTTTACCTCGCTCGGCGTGACCTTGTCAGCCAGGGCGGGGCTGCAGGAATGAGGAGACTTTACCCGGAACTCTA